ATTGGGTCATGCGTCATACATTTCTCTTTCTTTCTTTTCTTCCCTTCCTTCCTTTTCCTTTCTTTCCTTCTTCTTTCCTTAGGATCGTCTAGTACACTCTTAGTGAATTATTTTCAACTCAGTTATTTTCCGTTTTTAAAAAAAAATTAACAACCTGTTTAATAAACTGAGTAAGAAAAAATTAAATCATATTTCTATGAATATTTCTAATAATGCAAGGTGCCACATTCTTAACCATACCCATTTTCTTGGAAACTTACACCCTCGTGCAAATTAATTGAAACAAAACAAATAATTCCGTTATTATTTACTTTTTTCGTATTTTTCCAATGAAACATGACCGTAGGGCAAATAATTGGATTTAAAATGATTGGATTTAAATCAGGAGAGTTTCCGGGCTAGTCTATAGTACTTTGATTTGCTCACTGGTAAAGCTTGCCAGTGTGCTCGTACAGCGTTATAATTTTCGTACGCTTCCTTGGAGTAACGTCCATTGCAGACAATGACCGTAGGGCAACTAATCGACAGTCTAGACAATAGTGTCTGTGCGTGATGAAAATATTATTCAATCACGAATGACGCAATATTTTGAAGACCAAACGAATTTAATCATAAACTCCGAAAATGGATTCATATCACTTTACACCACTACAAAAGACCTAATCTGGGAAAAAAAAATAGAAATCGATTACACACTGTCATTCCATTGTGTCTAAAACTGATGGCGAAAGAAAGGAAACTAAAGGGGTTGTTTTAATCAATTTGCAGAAGGGTGTAGTATCTGAAATAGATATTTGACTTTTAACAAATTTTTAAAGTGTCTGAAATTTTCTGTAGCCCTTCTTCCAGTTAAAATGGTTGATCGAAGATAAATTGATTGTAAGAACGTCTTATTGAAATGAGGAAAATTATTTTTCTTCTTTCATAGATTAGCTTTAGGCTATTATCTTTTAAACACGACCAACGTTTTAATAAAAAGAAGACATTTAAATTGTTTTAAATGCGTTTTTATGGGTTTTGAGCTGAGATCAATTTGATTGGTTTGTTTTGTTTTACAGCATCTATGGGTTATTTAAATCCGACAAGATTTTCATTGCTGGTAATATTTTTTTCTTCAAAAATGTATTTCTGGTATTAAACCCCATTTTTACACTTTCATAGTGTTTTGACGCCAGTTTGGGTGTCAACTATTTGCCCATAGCTGGGACCCTAACAGGTGCTACCACCCCGGATCAGGGTGGACCTGGGGACACCAGCAAGTAAGTAGTGGTTCCACGCTTCTCAAAACCTCTTGATCAGAGACCTTGCTGTCGGATGTAGTTTATCGCCTTACATAGAACGCGGACGTAGTTTATCGTCTTGCCCAGGACACTCAAATATCATTAAAGAATTAATATCGAATATATTGGGTCGGCCAAAAAGTTCGATTGGTTAATAAGTACACAATTTTCTTAATAAATCGAACGATCTTTTTGGCCAACTCAATATATTTTTTTGTGAAAAATTGCCAGGTATCTTTACAGTAAGATTTTAAAACTCTTTCAGATTTTGTTGCTGACAAACGTTATATAGAATAAATGTTTGTTTGAAGAGTGTAAAGTTTAATATCGAGTGTGAATATTTGGCCAACATGGATAAACGTGTCCACAATAAGACGTGGTGTCAAAAGGATGTTTTTTCCTATGACACCGCTTTTTTAACTACCTTAACTCTTCGGTAATGTTTATTGTTTTAAAAAGCAATGATTAGAATTGGAACAAAATATAAACATATGAAAGAGTATTTATACTTTTTTCCTTCAGAATTGGCAACAAAATAATAAAACACTATTTATTTAATTTTTTATTTACACTACATTTTTATTAAGTTATTTATTGGAATGTTTGGCAAAACATCGGCTAATTGCCTATTGATTCAAACTTTATAAAATGGTGAATAATAAGAATTTCTTTATAGTTGGTTCACATATTTTAATAATTTAGCAAATGTTTACGAATATAAGAATACAAATTGTAGTTTTCAAAAAAGTTAGATAAAAAGAGAACACTTTTTGATATTTTCGTTAAAAAATGTTTTTCTTGCATCAGCAAGAAAAAATTTTTTTTTCAAATTAGTATATGAAATGTTAGCGTCTTTTCCGTTGAAAAACATTGATTTGTAAATTCGTCCAAAAATCAAATAATTGTCAGATTTAAATTAGATTTTTAGGCCTTATTCAGAAAAGAAATTATTTCATAATTATTTCCTTTTTATATCTATTACCCCCACTTATCTAATTTTATTAAATTTCTAGAAATTCGTTTTTGTACGACTTAATGTTTATATTAGTTATAAGCAGAAGTCCTTGGAGAATTTAAATCATCATTTTTATTTTGTCGAACTGGACACCCAATTAACGTGAAATCTGCTCTGAATCGTAAAATAAAAATGCTATAATAATTTGACATTATTTAAGTAGAAGCTTCTTACTGCTTTTATGAATAATATATATATATATATATATATATATATATATATATATATATATATGTGTGTGTGTGTGTGTGTGTGTGTGTGTGTGTGTGTGTGGTACTGATGTTAATAAAACAGTGCTCGATGTTATACAACAGAGTTATTCAGTTTATATTAATAAATATGCTTATTATCCCTCATCGACAACACGCCTTTGAGTTTCATACCTAACGCAATCTTCAGGTGCTGAGCATAGACTACTGACTGATAAACTCCTACAACAAAAAACTTCCCATATTACCATATTAGTAAAAATCGGACTCTCTTAAATTTTCAAAAAAAAATCAACCTTAGCATTGCGACCGCACGCTCCAAAAGTTTTTATCCGTTAACAATAACTCATTTCTAAAAAAATATATTTCGATTCGCATTTAACCTTTCGTCTCCAATGCTACCGAGATTTACTAAAAACAAAATAATTGCCATGCCTGAGGATGACTGTATGTACAGTTGAAAGTACTTGCAGATTAAAAAAAAAAAGACCTTATACTGCTTGTAGATATTAAAAACAAGGATCATAACATTCATCGAGTGGTTCGTAGGTTAATGCAACATTTGCGAAGAGTTTTCGCCATTTTATATCATTAACTTTACTAATCTACTTTTTATATGAATGATTCATTGTAATATAAATTGAACTGCACCACATATTTGATATATATATATATATATATATATATATATATATATATATATATATATATATACATGATCTGCCATTGCTTTGAAAAAGAAGCGTTTTTTTTTCCTCGGTCGGGAATAGGATGCGAGATTTATGTTGATTTTTGCTATTAAATCACTCTCGGTCACACTTAATAAAAATAAGTCAGTAAAAGATCCAGTCCATCTTTTGTTATACTTTTCATTTACCACAATATCTTTTCCCTATAAGCCAACGCCTTTTTACCATGAAATGAAAAAAAAATTAAGTATTTACAATGAAGGCAAATGATATTCAAACGAAGTTGGTGATTTAAATTTGGGAATGAAAAAACCGATGAAATACAAAAAAAAAAATAAATAAAAATAAAAAATAAATAAAAATAAAATAAAATAAACAAAGCAGAAAATAATAAGAGGCTCACATTTCACACACAGAAGAAAACAGTCAGTCCTCTCCTTGATGGATGAAAAGTTAAGAAACACGGGGAAAGTGATATCTAGTTCTTCTCCCAATTATTTTCACAATAGCAATATGCTCGTACATCATCTTGCCAGACAGATGTGTAGATCAGAAGAGCGTGGAACCCAACAAGGAATGAGAGAGCATCCTTGTGCATTTTATAAAATCATTTGAGTAATATGAGTTGGTGAGAAAAGTATTATTTCTGTGGCTTGTGCTGCTGAGAATGAGCTCTACCGGTCGAAATATTTGACTTGATTGTACCCTTTACATTAAATAGAAGAATATATCGTTATCGATGCCACTTCAATATGTGATCTACCCACTGTACGTGATCGACAACAACACAGATCTACTAAAGGGTGTGATCTCTATGGGATCCCAGAAAGTGCACGGCATTAATATTTATAAGAAAATAAAAAGAACAAAGGGAAAAGAAAATATGAAGTAGTCTGTGAAGTAATTGGCCATGATTAAATGTTATTGGCAGAATTGCCCAACGAAAAACAAAATTGGCAACGTTTATGATAGACAACAAAAGAAAGAAAAGAACAGGACAGAAATGATATTGAACAAACAATATATGCAAAGCAAAGCAGCATTAATAAGGGAAAAAGTTCACAAACTAAGAATGGATGATAACACTCAAGATGGGGGATACAGACAAGCGATCGCAGCGTTCTGGCTTCAAGACAAGAAACATTTTTGACGAGGCCGAGAAGTGGCCTATTTTATTGGCTAGAAAGAAATCCCAGCATACATCTGTACATTTTGTCTATAAATTTGCGGATGGGGATGCTTTAAAGACATTCTAGTGATGATGTAGCAGTCCTTATCATATGTGTGTGTATATATATATATATATATATATATATATATATATATATATATATATAGTAATTCATCGAGTCTAGAAGAAACCTCAACAGAATGCAGAAAGCACTGGACGGGACTCACCAGCAGCATCTACTACCGAGAATTGAAACACGGACAGCTACATTGACAGGCAAACGTCATACCAACTGTACTAACGGGCCTCGATGACAAAGAGGTAACGAACTAGACTCGATATTGCGCCGCTCGTTCACATATTCCGTGGTGGAACTCATCCAAGTTCCTTTACCCATAACACTGTGCCTCCGTGAGCCACGACTACCATCACCAAGCCGCTCCATCCAGAGCATTAGAATCCGGTTCAAGCGAGGATATAAAAATGATAGAAATTAAGGAGGATTTGAGATAATTAAATAATTCAGAAGAAACTTCAACAGAATGCAGAAAGCATATTTGGGACTCATCAGCAGTGCGCATCCACTACCGAGAATTCAGGTAGTCTTAATAACACACTAACAGGTAAAGTAGCGATATGACAAAACACCAAAAGTTAAGGCAGTGTCATAAAAATTCGAAGTGGCAAGGCGGAGTCATATCAACACACCAACAGTTAAGGAAAGATTATAACAACACTCTAAGTAACAGGGAAAGGACATACCAGCATTCTAAGCGGTTTATTTCCTTCTTCTTTTCAGCTCATTGGTCAATTTCTGTGAAGGCAAGGTTTTCATTGGCCCAAAGAAAATGTCATATAGGCTCGCAATTTCCATTCCGTCTTTTTCCTCAGTCCACCGAATTTGAAAGCAGAGGGTAAACGGAGTTCTTATTTGTCTATATCCCTGAGATGAGGTATTATGATTACTTGCATTTCAAACACGCGTGGCCTAGTGGATAAAGACGCTGGTTAGATCCAGTGACTAGACCCAAAGAGTTGTGAGTTCAATACCAGGCCACAATAGTGGTGGACCAAAAACTTAGAGATTTGAGTTAAAGGGGGGAAAAAGAGACATCCGGAAGAGGCATGGCACATGGAACTAGAACAATCCCCCCCCCGCCGGTGGATGAAATAAAGGGTTCGGTTCGAAATTCCAATCACCTAAAGAAGGCTGGAGCTAACAACGGCCGAAACGTTGCAAATATGGCAATGAAGATGAGGATAACAGTTCGAATAATGTAAATAATGAAAGTTCTTATTATTTCGCATTCACTACAAGCTCTAGCTGAAAATCGAACTCCGTCAATCGATTCCGTTTTTTGCAATCGTCACGCCGCAGTGCACTTCCTGTAAGCAGTGACTTTAACATTTAATGAACGCTCACAATGTAATGTCAATGAAATCACGTATTAAAACTTGCAAAATAACCGACTGTTTGCAAGAGAGAGAGAAAAAAAAAGACATTTGCCAAAGATTAAAGAAACATGAAAAGATAATTTAGAAGACATTTAGAATTGATGGCCTAGTTTTGACATTGTCAGGCTAATAATATTGGCCGGCGATTTTTTTGTTTTATTTTCGTTTTATTTGAGACCATTTTTCTTTTTTATTCTTTTTTAAAGAGGTTCCAGAAAGATCTGTCGTCGGAAGCAAAAGATTAAAAACTGACGATTTGACGTCTCAGACAAAGGGGGGAAAAATTGAAAACAGTATCCTCCAAGTTTCAACATCGGTTAATTGCTTGATTTATCTCTGATCTTCTCGTCTCTAAAAGCCAAAGATAAAAAAAAAAACATGAATCAAGAAATATAAAGAAAGGAATTTAAAAAAAAAATACAGAATAATGTTTGTAGGAAAGAAAAAAAAAGCAAATGCTAACAAAAAGCTGAATTCTTAGAAATCTAATTGTGGGAATTTATCGTCTGGAACCGACATTTTCTCCTAGGTTGATCCTAAACATACACTTAGATATTTGCCCCCGTCTCTCTTTCTCTTTCGCTTTCTCTCTATATATTTTCCTCTCTCTTGTGTACTCTCTCGCTTTCTTTCTTTCTTGTCTTGATCCTTTCGCCGCTCCCTCGTTCTCTCACTATGTCAGTCATTCAATCTCTCATTCACTCTTTATTTCGCTCTACTTTCTCTCTTTCTTATGCACGTACTTATTGCAATCTTCTTCCTGTTATATGTCGCTCTTTGCGTCTCTCTGCTACTTTCTTTTAACCTCTCGCCTCTTTCTTTCACTCTTCTCCTCTCAATGTCTACATGTAATTTCCCTTTCCTTATATATCTGCCCTCTCCTCTACCTACCATTATAAATATTCTCTCTTCTACCTATTCTCCACCTTCTTTCCATTCACTCTCACCCACTCATTCGTTTATATTACATCGCTTTTTCTCCATCTTCTTCCTATTCCGTGTTTTCATCGTTGCTGTAGCTATATATATATATATATATATATATATATATATATATATATATATATTCATTGTCCCGTTCAATTTTTTTTTTTGTTATATATATATATATATATATATATATATCAAATATATGAATTAAATAGGGCAAATATTATTTACGAATTTAAATGCCCATTAAGGAATTGTATTCCTGATCAATCAAAATTCGTAAATGATTATATAGGCCGCACTACAACATGTTTGACACGCAGACTCACTCTACACCTTTCTGAATATAGCTCAATTAGATCTCATTTAAATATTCATGGAGATCTACCGGACACTATTCGTAACATACTTGTTGACAACACAAATATAATAGTATCATCTACATGCAAAAAAAGGAACTTTGAACATGGACATAATATCTTGACCGTGTTTTGAAAAATGAAAACATTTTATAAAACATACATACAACAAATTATTTCTTATTTAACAGTTAAAATATTTAATCCTTGAAAATGGCTAAATGTATAGCCGAAAGCGCTCGGATAAAAAGAACATTCGGACAAGTTTTATATAATTTATCATCTGAAAAGAAAAAATATTAGATCGCATGAGAAATTGTATAAAAACTAAATAAAATCACCTTGTCTGCCGTATTCAATGAAATGTGCAGGAAAGGATTGCTGCCTAAATACACACACACACACACACACACACACACACACACACATATATATATATATATATATATATATATATATATATATATATATGTCTTGATATGAGTGGTGGTCTTAGGGGAAAAGATGAGAGAAAGAGAATGAAAGGAGAGAAAAAGATGACCTATAAAATATACCCAGTAGAAATCAGACAGTCGACGTCTACAGGATATATTAAATAGGTCATCTCTTTCTCTCTCTTTTCCTTCTATTTCTTTTTTACTTTCCCCTCTGACCACCCCTCATATCAACATTTACTGTTTCTTTTACCATTTCCCTTCCTTTCTATTCTTCATCTTCTTTCCCCCTCCTGTTTTTCTTCTTTTCTTCTTCCCTCTTGTCTGCTTCTTTTTTTTATTTCAAAAATTTATCATCCATTGACTGTTTGAAAAATCCTGTAAATTTAATATTACAAGGTGAAAATGATCATTTACCTAATGGTATCTTAATTCGGATTTTATGAGATATATTGCTCTGTTTATTAAAAACATTGGGCTCTATGTGAGAATCAGTTTTAATATTTTATATTGTGCTAATAAGATTCCCTTAGATTATATACCAACGGATTACTACCTACCTTCCTATATATATATATATATATATATATAGGGTGTATCAAAAATAATTTTACAAACATTAGGGACAGCTTCCTCACACTAATACAAGAACAAAACTCCATATAAACATATGTCCGCAAATCTTTCCTTTTTTGAATTATTAAGTTTAAAGAAAGTTTCCGGTAGATGGTGCTGAGTTGTTATGTAGACTAGGTTACATTTGTCATTCGTGTACATTTGTGAGTAGTCTGGCTTCAATGTTTAACATGTCTATTAGTGAGTTAACTGAAAAATATTCCGTTTAACAATGGTAGGATATTCATATCGTGAGCGAGCAAATATGATATTTACATCCGATCGTGTGAATAGTAATGTACGTGAGGCTTCACGGCTGTATCAAATTTCGATTCTAGACCGAAGGCAGCAGAGTCATCCAAATTTTGCCGCTGTTTATCGTTGCATTCTGAGACAGGACCCATGGCACCACAAACTATGGTAATAAGTATTTTTGGATTGTATCTTGGAATGTACATTTAACAGCATTTACCGTAAAATTTAAACTTAATAACTCAAAAACGAAAGATTTGTGGACATATGTTTATATAGAGTTTTGTCCTTGTTTTGGTGTGAGAAAGCCGCCCCCAAAGATTGTAAAATTATTTTTAATACTCTCTCTCTCTCTCTCTCTCTCTCTCTCACACACACACACACACACACACACACACTTTCCATATATATATATATATATATATATATATATATATATATATATATATATGAACAGAGACATTTTACCAACAGAAATAAAACATAGATTTGAACAAAATTCCTACCTAAGGACCCTTTCTGCCAACAATTTTTCAAAACAATTATGACATATCAATAATAACGAATGAAGAGTGAAATTTGGAACGCAATTAAAATAAATTTTAATTGTAAATAATTAATGAATAAAATAATTAACAAGTCCCACTAGACTATAAAATGGAAAAAGACACCCAGAGTCCCTTTATCAAACGTAAGGAGTGCATGAAATGCTCCTTTTGTTTACATAGACTCGGCTGGCAAAATTTTGTGTACACAGCCTCAAGGATTGGGGATGGTAAACCGAAGGAGTACAGTGTAGAATAGAAAGCCATGTGTCCTCATATTTAAGGGCACAATCCATTTGATGTTAGAAATCTTGGACGACCGGGGAGAGTGTTTTACAATTACAGATGTTCAGACGAGATACGTTCCTTAGTGCCCCCAGTTTAGTTTCACAACTAAGGCCTCCATGCCACGAACACATGGTCACATCATCAACATTCGCTTCGTATTCCATTGATAAGGAAGAAGTTCCACTCAGACAACCCAGTTACTTTGTTGAACAGACTCCCGAATGGATTTCTCCCCAATCATTTCAGTCTTAACCTCTTCAAGTCTAGGGTCAACTGCTATCTATCCCACATACCTTCGTAATATGCATCTCTTACCCTCTACATTGAGTGACTCTTGGGCTTTATATTGGGTAACAATAGTGTAAAAATTATTTTTATATTTCTTACACACACATGCGCTCCCTCACTCACTCACTCCCACCCCACGAAACACACACATTGACCTTTTTTAAAAATCAAATTCACCCCATGTAAGGTAATGAAGCCACTAAGACACAGGGATTATTGAATGTGAGAGAATTAGAAAACAGAAGCCTTATTGGCGAGCGAGAACAATAGAAGAGTAATCAGAATGGCAGAAATGGCAATTTACATTTCATTTCAATTTTTGAACATCAAATTTGTCTGCAAAGTAAGAAGCTGGAAGAAAGTTCTACAAGCGAGAAGTGCAAAAGAAGAAAGGGTTAGCATAGAACTTACGGTTACATCTAGCTATTTCAAGTGTAAACAGATTTATTGACAATCTAATACTGCGATTAGATTTATAAAGTCTAGTTATTATAGCTCATCTGAATAATTACCATGAAAGTATTTATAGAAGAGGGACAGCGAAGCAATTTTACGGCAGGAACTGAAGCCAAGGCGCCAGATCAGGACCAACAATATAGCTGATTTGTCTTTCGATTTTATTAAGAATCTTTTGATAAAAAGCAGGATACTGAACCATATGTGGCAGCAATATTCAAAGCATGGAATCATACTTATTATAAAACCCAGGTTGTGTGTGTGTCTGTGTGTCTGTTCGTTTATATATTGGAACGGATTTTCTACATTTTTCAACCGATTTCAACAAAACTTCACAGGACTACGTAAAATTACCTTGCGGTGGTTCTGACAGCGGCAAAAATTGGAAAAACACAATTGTTTTTGCATAAAATCAATTTGAAAACACGATTAAGAGGCATTAATGAAAGGGGGACAACTCATATCGAGTTATACTTATTATAAAAACCCAGGTTGTGTGTGTGTGTGTGTGTGTGTGTGTGTGTGTGTGTGTGTGTGTGTGTGTGTGTGTGTGTTCGTTTATATATGGAATCGGATTTCCTACATTTTTCAACCGATTTCAACAAAACTTCACTTTTTTTTGGCAGGTAGTGTTTCTTATTGTCTTGCACACTTTTTTCTTTATTTTTACATTCAGAATGCTTTAAAATTCCATTTTCAAGACAATTGTTTATAATAAAATTCTATTCAACGATTGAAAACAATGTTTTTGTTTGAGTTTGGGTTTGACCAATTCGTAAAAAAAAAAAAAATAAATTAAGATATGCGTGTCCGTAAACAAATAATAATCTTTGTCAATTTTATTTTTCAGTCTTTATGATGGTCGATACTTGATCTATCTCTTACTGTTACATCCCCGGGCAACGCCGGGCTCTACTGCTAGTATACAATATAGCTAGGTAAGAGAGATTAAGGAAGGGAAAATTGTCTTGTATGGAACAGTGAACAAAGTCTCTTAGCAATTGACCTAGCAATAGATTCAATATAGTCTTTCCGCTTCATATCAGTATAGAATATGTGTCCAAGAAGGTACAGTGGGTCACTCTCCTGGTGGTTTATACATACATACAGAGAGAGAGGGGGTGACAATAAATGTCACAGGAAAACCAATGCCAGGTCAGGACCAATAATGTTGCTGATTCTTTGGATTTTGTCAAGAATCTCTAAATGTATAGCAGGAGAATTGGATTATATATGACGGCAATATTGGAAGCATGGATGAAAGGTAGACATATAGATATGTAAGATACATTCTGGAGAGAAAGATTGTCTAGTACGGAATAGTGGACCAACTTGGATTCAATATAGTCATTCCACTTCATGTCAGCCGAGAACGTTAGCCTGAGAAAGCGCAATGAGTCACTCTCCTAGTGGATAGCATCAGCCATGCTTATGGAAGGCAGAAAGGGAAAGTTTGGTTTTCAAGACATTAAAATTAACAAGCCATTCACTGCTCCATTTAACAACAGACTGTTCAGAGTTCAGCCGTAAATTTGACCTTATTGAATATACTATCAAGACAGGAGTAAATGTTTATGCAACCAGCATGGATACCAAGTTCACTTCCTTATGATGAAATGCTTCTGTCTCGCAATACTTGCCATGTTTAGTATATGAAACATACGTGCAAAGGCACAACTATTATGGGGCAGAATTCCTTTCATTCTTTTTCTTGTATGGCTGTCTCAATATCTAATTCTGTCTTTCTGCTTCTTTCGTTCACTCTCCTAGTCTCTCTTACGTTCTTACTTTAGTCCTGGGTATGACGATAAACTACATTCGGCAGTAAGTCCTTTGATCGGCAGATTGCAGGTTTTGAAAAGCCAGCAAACACTTCTTAAATACTGTTGCTCCCAGGTCCACCCTGACCCCGGATGGTAGTACCTGTTAAGCTCCCAGATATGGGCAAATAGTGAGTAGACAAACAAAAACAAAACGCTATGAAAATATAAAAATACATATTTATAGTAAAATGACCAGCAATACAGTTTATCTGTAGTTGAAGGTATGCAATTGAGTTCAAAATATATTTAGTTGAAACTATAAAATTCTTCCAAAATATTGAGATTTTGGCATTAAATAACACAAAGAGTTTGATATGCCGCTAAACAAAATCAACCAACCTTTCTGACTTATGCTCTTTCATGTTTTCTCTCCTTTCGTCTAGTCACTTATCACTTTATCTTTCGTTCTTTTTACCACGCTCTTGTGAAGTGTCCCTCCATTTTAGTATTCAAAATCCTCTTTTGTGCGCGTTTTGCCTATCTGTCTTTTCTCTTCTTTCTTTAAAGTCTGGTTTCTCCAGGTTTTTATCAGTCTTTCTCTTTTCTTTTTCTTTCTTTAAACTCTCGTTTCTCCCAGTTCTATCTGTCTTTCTCCCAGTTAAATCTGTCTTCTGCCGCCAACAGAAATAACACTTTTAATTCGCATCCCATTTTTCTCGCTTCTATTTTTTTTTCTTTCTTTCGTTCCTTTCTTTTTATATTCCTCCCCGCACACACTTTCCCCTCTCCTTTCATCCCTATCTCCGTCCTCTTCATTCGTTTTCTATATTCCTCTTGGCTGTCTCTTCTTTTACTTCATTTCTCTCTCCCTCTCTCTCTCTCTCTCTCTCTCTCTCATCCTTATATCCTACCAATTTCTCCCCTTTCATCTTCCTCTCTCTCTCTTTTTTCTCTCTTCTTCCCACACACCTTCATGTTTTTTCTTATATTTTTCATTTCTTCATTTAGTCTTTGGTAAAAAACGTATTTATCTCCCTAAAGATTTGGATTTCTACCTTCATCATATTTGTTGCAGATTTGCTACAACTTGAACTAAAAGCAGCTGTAAACAAAATTTTCAAATATAAGTGACGGATCGTCATTGTTAGTAGAGATGAAAGGAAACAGAATACATTTCAACAAGGCGGTGTTATTTTCATGAGTTTTATATATAGCTAATAAATGATTAACAAGAAAGAAAATACACTTGTACGCATGCAAAAATAACTGAAAAGTGAAAAGAAAGAAAACATTAAAATCTACCTATTAAGAATTTTATATGTCTATATATGTGTCTGATATACGCGTCTGTGGGCTTTGAAAGTTCAGTCACACCGCTGAAAGATATTTACAAGCTAGAAACAAGTCTGGTGTTATTTCTACAGCATGCTAGAAGGAATAGGGAAAATTAAAAAAGAAATGGTCTTGGTAAACCAAATGGAGGTAAACCCAAATAATCTCTCTCTCTCTCTCGCTCCCTATCTCTCTCTCTCTCGCTCCCCCTCTCTCTCTATATATATATATATAGTGTAACCCGGATATAAGAGAGTTGTCGTGACCGGAGGAGAAGTCTCTTATATCCGGGTTTCTCTTATATCCGGGTTTGGTGTATTATATATACATTAACACAGGCTCTAATTTGGGACCAGAGAAAATCTCTCTTATATCCGGGTTTCTCTTATATCCGGGTCTCTTATATCCGGGTTACACTGTATATATATATATATATATATATATATATAAATATATATATATATATAATAAAAAGGCTTATACACTAATATTCCATGGTCATAATTTATTCCATTGGAATCGTAAATACGATCCAATTCATCAGACCTACAAATTCAAAAAGAAAACAGAAAACTCCGGAAATAAAAATAGATTCTATCCTCTCGGAATTTTTTATTAAAAAAATATACATGTATATGTATGCACCTATGTATATATATTTATATATTTTGCATATGTATGTATATATTTACCACTAAGATTATCTATCTATCTATCTATCTATCTATCTATATATATATATATATATATATATATATATATATATATAACCGGATATAAGAGAGTTGTCGGGACCGGAGAAAAGTCTCTTATATCCGGGTTTCTTATATCCGGGGTTGGTTTGGTCTATTTTATATACATTAACAGGCTCTAATTTGGAACCAGAGAAAATCTCTCTTATATCCGGGTTTCTCTTATATTCGGGTCTCTTATATCCGGGTTACACTATATATATATATATATATATATATATATATATATATATATATGTATGTGTGTGTGTGTTGATATCATAGTAAACAACTGTTAGATTGATGAATTTCTTTAGTATTTTTTATTTTTATTTAAAAAAACAGCGCTCGATACAGAAGTAGAGCCTAGATTATAATTATTTTTTATAAAAATATATGATTCCATCGCGACACAGAAATTACTGTTTCGAAACTGGTCAGCAGTATTCAGGTTTCATTTCACCCCAAGCAAGGCAATAAATCCACTAAGGGGTTACGGAATGTTAGAGAATATGAGAAAAACTACTATTAAGGAGAGAGATCAATAAAAGAACAGAAATTAACAAGACAGAAGATAACGATTGATATTGCATTTAGATTTTTGAAGATCAAAGGCAATAAAGCCACTAAGATGCAAGGGGTTACTGAGTGTTAGAAAATATGAGAAAAACTACTATTAATGTGAAAGGTCAATAAAAGAACAGGAATTAAGAAGACAGAAGATATCGATTGACATTTCATTTAAATTTTGGAAGATCAAAGTTGACTGTGAAGCATGAGATTGGAAAAGATTTCCACAAGCGGGATGTGCGAGAGAAGAAACTGTCAGATCTATGCTAACAGTTAATTGGCCCGGGGCATCATCAAACACCACCAAACCTCTGCACGTCACTGAAAATAAGTCTCCCACTAGAAGACTGTGCAAATGAAGTTGAACTCTGTTAAAACGGGAAGGTCAGGATTGCGTAGCTCCAGCCCAAATATGGTCATTTCAGGTCTAATTTGACTCTTGTAATAAGAATGCATAGCAGATGACATGTACTTTTTGGAACAGTACAATGAGTCGACCATCTTTCCAAATATATTTTGTAATGGATTGTTTCACTTGAGGTCTGTGGTTAGCTGAAGTTCCAATAGATGTTCGAAACAAGGACCATCGTACATTTTGGCCGTTGTACGCTCCGGCCTTCTTCAGTGGTTTGAATGTCGAACTCTTTATTTCGCTCACTGGGTAGACTGTTCTAATTCCACGTGCCATGTCTAATGGATGTCAGTTATCAGTTATGTCCTGTTAATTCCTCCCTCCAAGTTCTCCACCGCCTTAACCAGGTATTGAACTCACACTCTTTGGGTCCTGTCACTGGATCTAAGTAGCGCCTTTATTCACTGTGCCATGTCTCCTCAAGAGTGAGTTTTTCTTCGAGAAATTTGGGTTACCACTACACACAAAAAATACAATATTAAAACATCGGAAAACATAAGGAAAATTAAGTATATATTTTAAACGTTCCACGTTATCCAAAATGTTTGCATTTTCTCTCTTCTCTTTAAAATATAAACTTTTTTTCTCGTTAGAACAACTATAACCTATCCCTTATCTCTCTCTCTCTCTCTCTCTCTCTCTCTCTCTCTCTCTCTATCTATCTATCTATATATATATATATATATATATATATATATATATAACTAAGATAGTGTAAAGTCAGAAATGCTGTCAGGGGAAGCCTGAAAGAAAGATTAAAATCAAGCTGTCTTTGCTTGAAAGTGTTTAATATCAGAGACAGTGTTGTAATAGGATTAGTAAAAATATCAAATATTTCACTTAGCTGATTGATGTTATATTCAGCACCCCGACTTCAGAGTCTCGTAGACGGGCCTATTGATAATGGCTCTGTCCACTGTTCAGGAGGTATCAGCAATCAATTGCTTATTTTCACATTTTCGTTATTTTTATATTAAATAAAAACAATAATTTATACACATTTAATTGGTGTAAGACTGTTTTTTCTTCGTTCTGTGTATGTACGCGTGCTTGTGTGCGTATGTGTTTGTGCGTATGTGTAGAATACCGTGGTTATAATGCCACTTTTAACCTCTTCTTTTTAATACTTTCTGGTAGCCACATAATTTCTTCCTCTTGTTAAAACTATTTTCTTTGCCTCTTTCAATTCATGCGTCTTTATGACGTACTCCATTTTTTCTTCCTTTTTTTTTTTTTCTCTTCAGATATTGCCGATTAAATTTGGCGTTGTTTGTACGTGACAGCATAACGCCATTTTAATCGTTTGCTGGCGAGGTTTGAAGTTAGTCCACATCAAAGACCTGAAGCCGTCTGACAGAGAAGGATGATGAATTTACACTCGACTCTAGACGCCATGTTTGATCACTGAAATATGGCCGAACCGCCACTTGTCAATAAACGACTATCGCCCATTCTCGGGGGGTGAAGGAATCCACATATGTGTATTAATAGAGGCACGTATTTCCTTATATGCGTATTTAAGATGTAGCGTTGGTTGTTTTGCGGAAAAAATATTGCTCAAGGAAGAAAAAAAGGAAGGAAAGAATTAGGAAAAAGGAAGAATTTTTTTTTATCTAAATCATCAGGAGAAATAGAGGAAGAGGAAAGTGGAAATCTAGAAAGAATTAAATTTACAAAAATCAAGCGTCAGATGTAAAGACAAAACAAATGAATTAAAGAAAGAAAGAAAGAAAGAAAGAAAGAAAGAAAGAAAGAAAGAAAGAAAGAAATGAAGTGATACAATAAAATACAAGAAAAGAAAGAAAGGGATGCAAGAAAGAAAGAAAGAAAGAAAGAAAGAAAGAAAGAAAGAAAGAAAGAAAAGGTTTCCATGAAAGAGAACGAGACAGAAAATACATAACACAACGAAATGAAGAAAGATTTTCATGAAGAATAAAGAAAGAGGGAAAGGTAGTTAATGAAAGAAAAGAATAATATAAAACATACAGAAAGAAAGATAGAAAGAAAGACAGAATGAAAGAAAGTATTTCAATAGACAGAAAATACATATCACAAAAAAAGTAAGAAAGAAAGAAGAAATATACGTCATTATGAAAAAAGTAAGAAAGTGAGAAGGAAAGAGATGTCATGAAGAAGAAAGAAAGAAAGAAAGAAAGAAAGAAAGAAAGAAAGAAAGAAAGATAAGTTAAAAGACTCAATAAACGAAAGTTCATAATATCGTTAGCATGTAATCTAACACTAGCTGTCACCTGACACTTGGAAAAGAAATGGACATTATTCTTCTTCTGGCTTCAGAATGACACCGCAACAACTTCCGGGTCATTGGGTCAACCACCCAACCCCATTGATTTTTGCTACACTAGTTATGTTAATAATGGATTATATTGTGTTGGCGACGAACGACATCAGAAAAAAAATTGATGATTTCCTCTCCTTTTCTGGGAAACGGGAAAAGATTTGGCACATTAGCGGACACTTTACAGAGGCCTAATGTCTACACTCAGAAATTAATAGAAGTCCAAAAAGAATAAGAGAAACAGGAACTGAAGTTTATATATATATATATATATATATATATATATATATATATATATATATATATATAATATACTTAAAAATTAGAATGGAAGAACTTCAAGTTATTGGAGACTTTTATCTTATATATGACAATGAATGCTAAGCAGTCTCCACACGTATGAAAAAAGACATTGAAGCGACAGAGATGTGGTTCTACCGACAAATGCTAAGAATACCATGGACTGAACATGTGCTTAATGTGGAAGTTTTAAGAAAAATAAGAGCTGCTACTACCAAACATAGGAGAATGATCTTAGCAACAAATAATAATGTGCCGAACTGCTTTGTGATATCGAATCTCCTATATAGTAATGAATGATGGATACTCTCTTCACATATGAAGAAGAGACATAAAGTGACAAACATACTATAAATGCCATGGACAGAGCATATGAG